CTCGCAAAAGGTGCAGATTGGTGTTGCACCATGACACATCAGGACACAGCGAGCACACCTCTATCATTGAGTGTACCATTGTACCACTGGGAACAAAGCAACCTCGTGGCATGCATTTGGGATTCTGGAGGTGTCAGCTCTCATTTTGCCCACCTCATTAATGATCTGTGGAGTGGAATACCTCTCCTATGAGGACAGGCTGAGAGATCAGGGGCTCTTCAGCCTGAAGAAAGGTCTGAGGTGACCTGACAGCAGCCTTTCAGTATCTAAAGGGGAGCTACAGGAAAGAAGGGGACAGACTCTTCAGCAGGGTATGTGGTGATAGAACAAGGGGAAATGGCTTCAAGCTCAGGGAGGGTAGATTTAGGTTAGATACAAAGAAAAAGTCTTTTCCAGTGAGGGTAGTGAGGTACCGGAGCAGGTTAGCTAACATTGTGGTTGATGCCCCATCCGTGGGGACTTTCAAGGTGAAGACGTGTAATGCCGCAGGCAGCGTGATCCAACTGTGGTGTTCCTGTTCATTGCAGGGGGTTGGACTAGATGGCCTTCCGAGGTCCCTTCCAACTCTAAGGATTCTATGATTTATAGGGGGGCCTAGAGAGGGGTCATCCCACACTCACTGCCTCCGTAGAACACGCCGACTTTATCAGCATCACTGAAACCCACGTGTAGGATGAGGCCATGGCCAGTGAAGATGGTGCGTGGTCCACGGGTCCGCAGAACCATTTGTGACATGTCCTTCAGGTCTAGGGTGACAGTGAGGACAAACTGGGGAGGAAAACCACCAAAAAGAGGAAACACAGCAAGAAAAGAGCTGGCCATACCTTCGTAGGAGCACACGGTGTCACGATTATCTGTAAGCTGGCTTTTGGGTTCGCTACTGTCACCCATCAACCGGCTTTTGGGGTCATCGCGGTCACAGTTGACCAGCAGAATGGCACCATGCCCATCAGGACCCCATGTCCACGTGGCCTGGGGATAGGAAAGCAGGGTTGGGAACACTGTTGGAGCCACCTACAGGGGTGGGGATTGTTGTTTTCACTGCACTACCTTGTCCACCAACGTCCTGCTGACTGACCCACTGCGACCAGTGTCAGCATCCAGCGAGACTTCTGCAGGGACAACAGGTGCTCAGTGGAGAAATGGCATGGAGACACCACTTTTTGGGACCAAATATTCCCACTTACCCACACAAGTGAGGTACAGCATAGCTCTGCCCACTGGCACCCCGCTGGCTTCACCAAAATAGGAAATCCTGACCTGTGATGTCACAGCCAATGAGTTCAGTATCACCCAGAGGTGATACTGGGTGCTGCTGGGCTGCTGTCACCCACCTTCTCATCCCCAACATCCTTGCTGATTGCCTCCATGGTGAGCAGCACCTCAGTGCCAGTGGCCAAGGGCCAGCGGGTGACACTTGAGGGCAGCTTCACACTTTGTGTCTCATGCACCACGTAGACTTTCACGCCTGGCGTGCCCTGCGCATGGAAGGCGATGGCATCCTTGGGTGCTGACCTGGGGGAGCACAGCTGTTGGGGCATTACTGCAGTGATGCAGCAAGTCCTGCAATGTACAATTGCAATGAATCCTGCAGTATGTAATGAATCCCACAAAATGCAGTAAGCCCTACTACGTTCAACCTCAAGAAATCCTACAGTGTTCAACTGTAATGAATCCAGTCTTATGTAACTGCAACAAATCCTGCAACATTCAACCTCAAAAAAATCCTGCAGCATTCGACTGTGACAAATCCTGCAACAAATCCTGGAAACAGCAAGAAATTCTACAAAATGAAACTGCAATAAGTCCTGCAAAGTGAAATAAATCCTGCAATGTGCAACAAGTCTTGCAAAACATCCCCAACTCTACATTATTCAAGTCCAATAAATTCTGTACCAATCAACTGCACCAAAACTCCAGAGGTCTTTTCCTATGGCATGAGGCTTCCCAGATATTTAAATTCCACCCCACAGTAACAAATGCATCCCCTTCAGAGCACAGCAACGCCACAGCGGGTGCGGGAAGTGAGTGGGGATGGAGGAAGCACCAGCAGGCGAATGGGCAGGCTGCAGCATGCAGCGCTCAGTGCAAGAGGGCATTGCCAGGGCAGGAACTTCTGCAAGGAGGGGAGAAGCCCAGTCCTGGGTGCTGTGATGCTACTAACATCCACAGGGCAGAGGTGTGTTTGAAGCAGCACAAGGCAACCCAAAAAAGCAAAACTAAAGTCAGTTGGAGCTTTAAGGAAAATGGAAGAAAAAGCAAAACTTGTTGCTGTAAACCAGGCTGTGGCCAAACACTCGCATGTCTGCAGGGAACGCCCCAGCAAGCAATGTTTCCATGGTTAACTCTGTATTCACCTACACAAGGAAATATTTCTATTTCTTGCTGGGACAGCACAGCAGCCCCTAGAGTAGAGTTCTGGAGCCCAGATGGAGAATGCAACCAGATTTGGGATTTCGCATCCAAAATCTGTTTCTCCACAGAGGTTGCAAACTTTTCCATTCATCCCGAGCACTGAGTAGCGGTGCCATCCCATTCCAGGTGCTGAAAGCCCCTGGGAGCAGAAGGAGCAATACCCCACTTTTCAATACTGAAAATCCAACAGGAGCAGGAGCAATCCCTTTCTTTTGGATGCTGAAAATCCCAACAGAAGCAATCCCTTTCTTTTGGATGATGAATCGCCTTGGTAAACCCACCCGAACACATCAGCATCGCCTTTCCCCAGCTCAACCCATCTGCCTCTATTTTTACCCTCTCCTCACTTAACCCAGCTTTAACTCCCACAGGCGGAAAGAGAAAATAATATAACCCCAAAGCAGATTTTTGGACACCCCGTTTCTTACCCCTGGATGTCCAAGGACAGCTCTGTGCCCAGCACACAGACAGTGCTGGTGGGCCGTTGGGTGCAAAGCTGAACACGACGCTGCTGGGCCATGCCACCACACAGCCCCGAGTGCTGGCAGGGGTGGCACGAGGGGATTATAAAGGCTGGCAGCGGGGAGGGGATTAAAACAGCCTGATCCCACCCAGCTGGTGCGCACCGCTGAGCTTTCTGACAACAGAGCGTGAATCAGGGCTGATTTTTCACCCCAACGCTGCCTTCCCCGGAACAACGCTTTTTATTTGTCGCCTTTTTTTTTTTATCCCCGAGATAACAAAGTAGCCTTGTCACCAAGGAGAAACCCGCACCGTAAATTATTCACCACGACACCAGAGCCGAGCTGGTGCCATGCCAGGCTGCTATTTCCTACTGCGCGCCTCCCCAGGCTCCTCACAGAATCGCAGGAGATGGAAGGGACCTGAAGAGATCCTGGAGTCCAACCCCCCTCATAAAGCAGCTCCCTACAATTGGCCGCACGGACCAGCATACGGATAACTCTTGAATATCTCCATAGAAAGAGATTCTACAGCCGCTCTGAGCAACCCGTTCAGTGCTCTGTCCCCCTTACCATAAATAAGTTCTTCCACATGTTAGCACAGAACTTCCTGTGCTCAAGTTTTAAGCCATTAGTCCTTGCCCCGTTGCTGTGCACCACCAAGAAGAGCCTGGCCTCATCCATTTGCCTCCCACCTCCCCTCAGATATTTATAAGCATTTATCAGATCCCCTCTCAGCCTTCTTCTCCCCAGGCTGAGCAGATCCAGGTTACTCAGTCTCTCGTCACACCGGAGATCTCCAGGCCTTTTATCATCTCTGTGACCCTCCACTGGACTCTTTCTGGAGCTCCCTCTCTTTTTAGAACAGGGGAGCCCAGAACTGACGTAGAAGTCTAAATCTCTACTCACGAGGGCAGAGCAGAGGGGAAGGATAACCACCCTTGACTTGCTGGCCGCACTCTGTGCAGCGCACTCCATGATAACATTGGCCTTCTTGGCCACAAGGGCACGCTACTGGCTCATCACCACCTGGCTGTCCCCCAGGGCCCCAGGCTTTTCTCTGCAGAGCTCCTGCCCAGCAGGTCATCTCCTTACCTGCACTGATGCACACAACTGTAATACTAAAATGGAAAAGAAAGTACCGTGATAAAAGTAGCATGGCAAAGCTTTCAGCCAGATCAAATAAGAACAAGATTAAAGCAACAGATACAGAAAAAAAAAGAAAAAAAAGGAAAAAAAAAAGGAAAAAAAAAAAAAAAAAAAAAAAAA